CCCAGGCCTTTGAAAACCCCCAGGCAGGTATGGACAGATGGAGAATGGTGGACCAGCCCAAGAATTCCCCAGGTCCTCACTCACAGCAGACATCAGTAATCAATTACTTCACTTGGGGCCTAGAAGCAGGCCCAGAATCCATGCACTATGGCCACCACACAATCCATCAGACTTGGCATGAGAGAGGACATCTATGTGCCCTCCTGGACGGGACAGAAATGGTGTAAGGATCTACTACATTTTAGAATCCAGCCTACGAGAAAATGCTTGGATTAAGTATGGCCCAAGCTTCAATCAGGCTCACACAAATGTTTGTTTTCTCAGGTCTTGGTTTAATGAGGTGTCGATGAGAACACGTTCTCATTTGGCTTAGGGCTGGAAGGACTTCAGTTCTGATTTTGCAAATTGGTTCTTTGCTCCCACTATGAAAAGAAGGGGGTGGGGTGGGAAGCATTTGTATGTGTTCCTTTTTTCTTCTCTGATTACCCCCAAAAGAGCTTTCAAATAATCTGCTAAGTATTGAAGTACTGAAGCCATAAACAAGTTGCAAAAAAATCAGCTTACTGGAACAACAGGAAAGACATTCTTCCGCTTTTCAAAGGCTCTCCCATCATCTAGAGCCAAAAATATTATCTTCTGACCCAAAAAGCCACTAATAAACCTTGATTCTATAGGCCAAGCAAGAGGGATGATTTTGCCCTAAGCCAAACGACAAAGAGACCAAGACTGTTCTCTGGGTCCTCCCACCCCGAACTCTACCCTCTCCCCTCTCCTGGTACCCTCCACTTCCCTCCTGCGATTGGGCTGCCAGGATCCCCACCACCTATGACCAGAGGCACCCTTCCTCCTTACAAGCTCCCTGGCCCCAAGTAAAATCCCCTTCTTTTCTCCATCCCCATCCAAATTCCAAATCCCAGCTAGCAGCAGGCTCAACCTCGGAGCACAGTCTCGGCACTCACCCTCTCTTTGAAAGACTGTGCACAGAATACTGTGTTCCTTTCCATCTAGTTGGGAGTGTGGGGAGTAAGAGAAGGCTGCCTTCTGGGGGCACACCGAGGAAAGCTGGCAGCAGAACCCTGGTATAATAAATAGAATCCATTTGTTGGCCTGATGCACCAATAAAAAATTGAATTACCAGTACTGTATTTTTTTGTTACTGATCCATTGAAAAGCTTAAAAAAAAAAAAAAAAAAGCTAAAAACAGTAAGCTTCAGTCATGAAGACAATTCACTTATGTGAGCCTTATTCCCCTAAACTGCGAGATAAATTAAAATGAGATGGTATGTACTATATTTATATTTCAAAAGACAAGGCTGTTGTCCCAAATTAAGCTCTAAATGGCAGAGTGGGGAGTCAGGGGAGCAGGCATACGGCTGAGCCCTTTGTCAACTCCCTGCCTCCACAGGCCTCAACCCACTATGCCACTAAGAACGTCAAACAGATGAGTAAAATGCACCCTCCTTTCCTTGTTTGCTAAATTGACCCCAGCCTCTGTGGCCAGCCTGGAAGGGTTAAGAACACTACAGGAGGTGAGGAGCAGCTCTCCAGAAGGCCACACACCTCTGACGCCACATCCCTGCCTAGAAAATAAAAACATTCATCACCTCTGTCCCTCGGGACTCTTAGCAGGCTTCCCCAGTGGCCAATGACAGTAAAAATGTTTGTTATTTATAATACCCAATAGCATGCCGTGTCTGTGAGGACAGAGTCCCAGAGCGCGGGGATTACGTTTTTAGAGCGTGATACAACTGTGAGTGGAAAAACTCCAATCGTGACCTCCTTCTCAAAATACCAGAGTAAGAAACAGAGATGGACAGAACCCTCGGAGGCCATGAGTCCATCCATGTTCACCAAGGCTTCCCGTACCCTCAGTGGCTGTGCCTTCCCTACCCCCTGCCCCCTAAATGCTGGAGGTCCTCGGGGCTGCAGCCCGGGTCCTCTGCTCGTCTCAGCCCATGTTCTCACCCCCAGAGACCTCGTCCTCATCTGGCTTCAACATCTCAGCTCCCACATGTTGATCAGCACTCAGCCCAGACCCTTCTCCTGCTAGAGACCTGTGGATCTAACTGCTTACTTGCCAGAGCCGCCTGGATACCTTAAAGGCACCTGTTTGAACCTGAACTCAGCACACTTCTTCCCCCAGCCCCACCTCCAAGCTGCTCCTTTGCCAGGGCTTCCTTCTGCAACAGTAATGGCCATGATCCTCCCAGCTACATGAGCATATCTCTGGGACATAGTCATCTCCATGAAAAATGGATCTCCAGAAGATACTATATGTTTTTAAGTGAAAAAAGAAACAATGTGAAACTGTATTTAGTAGGTGCCATCTTTTATGTATCAAAGGGGAGAATATTTATATATACATACACACACACACACACACACACACGTATAGCTATACCTCACACACATATGGATTTGCTTATGTTTTTTGTTTTTGTTTAGTTTATTTATTTGACACAGAGAGAGACAGCACAAGGAGGGGGAGCAGCAGATGGACAGGGAGAAGCAGGCTCTCTGCAAAGCAGGGAGACCGATGTGGGGCTCAATCCCAGGACCCTGGGATCATGACCTGAGCCGAAGGCAGATGCTTAACCCACTGAGCCACCCAGGTGCCCCTGCTTGTGTTTTCAAAAAGAAACAAAAGAAGAATAAATCAAAATAATAAAAATTATTACCTATGGAGGAGGAAAGAGAATAGAGTGGAGAATATCTAGGTGAAAGGAGACTTCTGTTTCTGAAGACAATTATATCTTATGTCATTTTGATTTGGGAGAAATATTGTACATAAACATTTTATATTATGTTTAAATTAAATTAAAATGGAAAAAAAAGTCCCTAAAATTTCAAAACAAGTTAAAGCAAATTAGCCTAACTGCATATCACAATGGGAGAATAACTAAAAGAAGAGGAGAATTACTAAACTCAGTACTCTGACCATACATCCCTACTGGGATATATTCTAAAGCCAGAAAGAACCACAGAGAAATCCTATATTTCATTCTGAGTCTTACTGTTAATAGTAAAAAAAAAAAATGTAGTTATTTTTAAATTATAAAAAATATAAGTGTGCAGAATAGAGTCAACATTAAAAAAAATCCTGCTTTAGAAAAGCCTATTTGCAAGGCCAGCCCCTGGCTGGCACCTGGGAAATCGGATTTTGGGTGGTTCCCACAATTCCTGGAACTGATTAAGAGTGACTCACTGTACCTAAATCAAACAATATGCTTTATGCCTAATACCTGCTTTCCTTCGGGAAGTCTCGAATTCTGGTCCATAAGCAGAGGGTGCTTATGTGACCCGTCCCCAAGAGAAGTCCTAGGCAATGAGTTTCAAATGAACTTCCCTGGTAACAATATTCACACATGATAAGCCTCCCCTTGAAGCCATTTGAGCATAAAAAAAACCTAAAAATTTATCCAATATATAAAAATATATGTTCAAGGAGCACCTGGGTGGCTCAGTTGGTTACGCGTCTTCCTCTTGGTTTCAGCTCAGGTCACGATCTCAGAGGGGTGAGATGGAGCCCTGCATCATGCTCTGTGTTCACCATGGATTCTGCTTAAGACTCTCTCTCCCTCTTCCCCTCCCTCTCATCTCTCTCTCAAATAAACAAATCTTAAAAAAAAAAAAAAAAGATATAAATATAATGTTCAAAATGATGTGAAAATCAAAGCTTCATTAGCCGAGACTGGAGGGTACTAGAGTCCAAACTTGTTGTTCTGAAAATTAATAAAAGGAAAGAACCAAGCACTTATCTAGACTTTACTACAAAGCGCATTTCAGAATAACTATATAGGCAATGAGGAAAAGGTCTTCTTCGTGGAAGAATTCCAGCTAATAAATGCAGAAGGAAAAAATGGAGCTCAGCAATGGATATTGCAAACACTTTAGGTGCAAGACTGGTGGGGATTTTTTTTTTTTTAAAGATTTTATTTATTTATTTGACAGAGAGAGAGATCACAAGCAGGCAGGGAGGCAGGCAGAGAGAGGAGGAAGCAGGCTCTCTGCAGAGCAGAGAGCCCGATGTGGGGCTTGATCCCAGGACGCCGGGATCACGACCTGAGCCGAAGGCAGAGGCTTTAACCCACTGAGCCACCCAGGCACCCCTGTTGGGGATTCTTTAATAGAGGGATCAGCTACCACCACCTGAACCCACTGACCAATCCCAGAATCTCTAAGTGTGTGACAAGCAGACACCATATGCTCATCGACAACACGTATCAGGAAGTCCACAGTGCCAGCCAGGAGGTGTTCTCACCAGATAGCCTGATCTGAGTTGACTCAAGCATCTAGACTGAACTTCCTATTAATAGGAAATACAGGGAACAGAGAAACAGGTTAAATGACACCACACAGAGGCAATCAGCTAAATCCTGGACATGGATACTATAGATGACAATGACCTGCTTTCTCCAACAAATTAGTGTTATGAGAAAAGGGAGGGTGGGGGAGAAAGGGTGGTGGAAGGAGGGAGTATGCTACAGAATAAAGAAACCTACAGAAAAAAGTCAATACAACAAAAAGCCAATCTGATCCTGTCAGTGTCTTACTTAAAACCCTCTGGGCCCCGCCCGCACCTCTCATTCATGTCCCTCTGTGCTCCGGCCACAGTCATCCTCATTCAGTGACTTGAACTAGAGTCCTTGCAAAGGTAGTTCCCCTGCCCCAGAGTAAGACCAGGTCCTACCCCTTGACAGGCACCCTCACAGTGCCCTGGGCTTCTCACGGAAACATGCATATTTCTTTCCTATCTGCCCTTCTCTCAAGGACTAGAAGCTGCATGAGGAAAGACTCTACGTTCTTGCTGCAGACGGACACGTAATAGGCAGTAAATAAAAATCTGCTTAACATGTGTGAACCAATAAAGTACTGGTCACGTGCTTCAATGCCACTAGGTGGGAATCTGGCATAGTCCCAACTGGTTTTCTTTGCCACGGTATCTGTTTTTAGCACCTAGAACCCAGTCTGATGGTGGAAGCTCTCAGGGAAGGACTCACCGCCTCGTGGGACTTGGGAACAGGTACGATGATGGCCAGCACACAGATGAGCTGGAAGATGGCCCCCAGGAACAGTCCGTACCGTAGCAGGTTCTCCAGGAAAGTGGGCTCAGGCACCTCAGGAGGTGAGAAGTCCAGGTCGGAGGCCATGGCCCAGGCCACCTGCTGCCTGTGGTCTCCTCTGATTCACCACTCTCCAGAGCCAACTTCTAGACACAAAGGTTAAGTGTCATGTTTCTACAACTGATTTTTAAATGGTTCCACTTGCCCAAACACACCCATACTTCCAGGGATATATAAAGCGATCATGGTGAGATGTTAATAGTACTTGAATCTAAGTGGAAGACGTATAGACAGTCATTGGACTATTCTCTCAACCTTTCTGAATATTTGAAATTTCTCCAAATACAGAGTTAGGGAAAATGAGTAAAGGCAAACACTTTGACAAAAATCTCTAATCAACATACATTTGAAGGCCTGCTACAGGTCAGATTTTGTTCATTTATTCACTTATTCATCTAGCTATTCATTCAGCAAATACCTGCTGAACACCAAGCATGAAAGAGAGAGAAAAAGAGACCAAGCCCTGCTCTCCTGGGGCCTACATCTCAGGGCAGAGGCCAACAACACATCCAGACGTGCTGTGCCAGCTGGTGACAACTGTTTTGAACAAAACTGACAAAGGGCACTGTTTTACTTTGTGCAGGGTGACAGACAGGAGGAGCTCTCTGCAGAGATGGGGACTGACGGCAGAGATATGAAGTGTGAGAATGAGCCACTGGAACATCTGAGAGAGGCACATCCAGGCAGAGAGAAAACAAGTGTAGAGGCCCCGGGGCAGGGAAATGAGGTCAAAGTGGCCAGAGTAGAGTGCTCAAGAAGGAGAGAAGATCAGGGAGAAGTGTGGGCTGACCCACTAGGACCGTGACATTTCTGGATTGACTGAAGCCACCAAGGGTTTGGGGCAGAGAAGTGACATTATCTGACTTACATTTTAAATGATGGGGACAGGGAGTGCAGAGTAGACACAGGGAGGCCGGTGAGGAGGCCACTGCCAGTAAACCCAAAGAAGCAATGCTGGGGACATGAATGACAGGGGCAGTGGTGGCCAGTGGTGGCAAGTCCAGCTTCACCCAGCCTCTCCTTTCAACAGGGCCCCCACTCCTAATACTCTGCTCGAGCCCAAACAGCTCCCTATAGTTCTCCAAAAGCACGGGCTCTTCCGAAAACCTGGGCCTCTGCCCAGGCCGCACACTCTGCCAAGAATGCCCTTTTCCATTCTGACTGCTTGGTGAAGCCCCCACTCTACCTCCAAGGCTAAGCTCAAGCGTCACCTCCCCAGCACGCCTTCCTTATTGCTGTCTCCCACCCTGGTATGACTGAACCGCCTCCCCTCTACCACGGCACCCACAAGTGGCTTCCTTCTGCCCACTGCAATGAGAAAGGGGCAAACTGATTTTTGGAACAGGCCCACCTGACTCCAAAGCCCTCTGTGTTTTCAGAGATCTGTGCCACACTGCAGTTTCCTGCTAAATCTGAGCTGTCCAATATGGCAGCCATGAGCCACCTGTGGTTATCGAGAGTTGAAATACAGCTGGTCCAAACTGGGAGGGCTGTCCAGTTAAATACACGCTCAAGTGAGGAGATGGCAGGAACATCAAAATGTAAAAGATCTCATTAAGGATGTTTTTATATCGATTACATGCTGAAATTATATACTGGATTAAGCTGCTATTCATTTCATATTTTTAAAAAAATAACAAAATTGGAGGATTTACTTTCTGATTTCAAAACTTACTAGGAAACCTATAGTAAGCAAAACAGTGTGGTACTGGGATAAGGATATAGACTAATGGAATAGAGAGCTCAGAAATAAATCCTCACATATGTAGTGGACTGATTTTCAAACAAGAGTGCCCGCATCATTCAATGGGGAAGAACAGGTTTTCAGCACATGGTGCTGGGAAAACTGCACATCTACCTGCAAAAGAATGCGGCTGGAACCTTATACCATATACAAAAGTGAACTCAAAAGTGAATCAAAGATCTAAACTTAAGAGCCCAACTATAAAACTCCTAGAAGACAACATCAGGGAAAGTCTTCATGAGATTGGATTTGGCAATGATTTCTGAGATGTGACACCAAAAGCAAAGGCCACAAAATAAGAAATAAGTTGGACATCATCATGATGAATTTAAAAACTGGTACATCAAAAGACATTATCAAGAGGGAAAAAAAATACAAACTGGAAAACAGCGGTTGTTTCTCAAAAAGTTAATTATAGAATTACCATATGATCTGGCAACTGCACTCCTAGGTATGTACCCCAAATAACTAAAAGCAAAGGCTCGAACAGACACTTGTACCCCAGTGTTCACAGGTGCACTTACAACAGCCAAAAGATGGCAGCAACCAAGAACCCATCAACAGATGAACAGATCGACAAAATGTGGTGCACACATACAAAGAAATACTATTCAGCTATTAAAAGGAGTGAAATTCTGACACCTGCTACAACATGGATAGATCTCGAAGACATGGTGCTAATTGAAATAAGCCAGACACGGAGGGGCTAATGTTGTATGCTGCCACTTGTAAGCGGTACCTAGAATAGGCAAATTCTCGGAGCCAGAAACCAGATACAGGTTAGCAGAGGCTGGGGGGAGGGGAACGGGGACTTAGTGTTCAATGGGGACAGAGTTTCCGCTGGTGATGCTGAAAAACTTCCGGAGCTAGAGAGTACTGATGGTTAGACATCACTGTGAGTCCCACTGAACTATACACTTAAAAAATGGTTAAAATGAAAGGAAAAAAAAAAAATGGTTACAACGGTAAATTTTATGTTACGTATATTTTACAATTTTAAAAATTTACCTTTTTCTTTTTACTTTTTAAATGCGGCTACTAGAAAATAGAAAATTACACATGTGGCCTGCATTGTATTCCTATGGCATAGCCTTGGGCTAAAGAGAAGGTTCTAAGACTTTCCTCCACCGTGTAAGTTTCACTGCTTTGCACCATCAGGGAAGTGACTAAAGGGTAGCAAAACTGCCTTCTCGATAAACAGAGTGGGACTTATGCAAAGAGTACTGTGTCCCTTTTGACCTAGACACTTGGGAAGATTACACGCCCGTGCCAACAGGGTGGCCATTTTCACACTACTTCAGCTTTCTCTGGGAGCCACCTTCAAACCCCTTTTGAAAAAAAAAAAAAAAGTCCTCAGAGCTGGCAGATCTTTACCCTCCCAGGAAGGATCTGACTTCTGGAAAGAACCCAACATCCTCTGAATCCAAGTGTGGTGAATCAGGTGGGGCCTCGAGCTCAGGAATACCATTTTTGGTCAAATACAAGGTATGACGAGGCTCAGACCCAGGAAGATTGTTTGGGGTGGCTCATGAACTGGCCCCGAAGTGAATTCCAGGGCAGCTACAGGAACAGCTTCTCCGGAGGACACGCGCCGTCCTGCCAGGGCACCAGCATGTGAACACCAAGGTAGAAGCAAGTGCTCTCATTTCTTCACTGTGGCGGCTCACAAAGTATACATCTTTATTTATTTTTTAATTTTTGTTAAAGATTTTATTCATTTAGGGGCGCCTGGGTGGCTCAGTGGGTTAAGCCGCTGCCTTCGGCTCAGGTCATGATCCCATGTCCTGGGTTCAAGCCCCACATCGGGCTTTCTGCTCAGCAGGGAGCCTGCTTCCTCCTCTCTCTCTGCCTGCCTCTCTGCCTACTTGTGATTTCTGTCAGGTGAATAAATAAAATCTTTAAAAAAAAAAAAGATTTTATTCATTTATTTGAGAGAGAGCGAGCGTGAGCAGGGGAAGGAGCAGAGGGGGAGGGACAAGCAGACTCCATGCTGAGTGCGAGGCCAACACAGGGCTCGATCCCACGCCCCCGAGATCACTACCTGAGCCAAAATCAAGAATCAGAGGCTTAATCGACTGAGCCACCTGGGCGCCCCTAAATTATACATCTTTAAAAATGCCCTTGGGGACACCTGGGTGGCTCCGTCCGTTAAGCGTCTGCCTTCGGCTCAGGTCATGATCCCAGGGTCCTGGGATGGAGTCCCACATCAGGCTCCTTGCTCAGCGGGGAGCCTGCTTCTCCCTCTGCCTGCTGTTCCCCCTGCTTGTGCTCTCTCTCTGACAAATAAATAAATAAAATCTTTAAAAAAAAATGCCCTTGGTCCCAAGCTTTATGCTTAAGGCTGTGACAAGCCTACTAAACTTATCGATACTTAGATTAACTAATATTACCAACAGCAACACTGTTATGAATACTTGGAATACAATAAAAAGATGGGGCCTGAGGGTAGGGGCAAAACACCTGACTCTATCAGCCATAAGCTATACTTTGAGCGCATCTCTTGACTTCCTGGAGACTTGATGCTCTCATGAGCCAAACAACAAAAACATTCATTCAAAGCTATAGTGCATATAGGCTTTTTTTTTAATGGCAATAAGACCATATATAACAAGAGCCATAAAAGTGATTATATCCTTTGACTGAATAACTCACTTCCTAGAATTTACAGTAAGGAAACAATTCAAAGCAAGAAAAAAGGCTTCAGGTACAAAAAAGCTCATGGCAGTGCTATTCATGACACTGAAAAACAGGAAGCAACTAAAGTATCCAACAATAAAGAGGCAGTTAACCCAATTATGGCCCCTCATGGCATACTGCCCCTTCACTAAGATGGCAAATACAAACAACACACGCACATCAGGTCAGCAGAAAGTCTGTGCAAAATAACATTTGCTGAAAAGAGGCAACAATTATATGAGCACTGTGACTGCAAACACATATAAACTGATTTCATTGGCCAAAGAGCCAAACAGGCTACGAAGATGTGAATCATCGCCGTTCAAGCAAGGACTCCCATATTGGATGGCCCAGGTGTAACAGGACGATAGTTGTGAGAAGGTTCTGGAAAACACAAAATGCTCTGCACAGATTGTGTATGCCTTACAACTCTCACCTACTTTTCTCTGCTTGACTTCCCAGCCCTCCTGCCAGTGTTTCTGGGTCTTCAGTTTCTGAGTACAGAAGTCACAGGAGTCCTAGTCGTCCTTCAGATCTCAGGTGGGAGGCGGCTGCCCTCAGACTCCCTGGGCCAGGTTGTCTCCCCTCATGCCCTGCCATGGCTGCAGCAGCAAGGACAAGCGAATCATTTGCCAGATGTGCACCACACCCCACAGTGAGCATCTCATTCACTTCACAACCACCTGGGGAGTAGGGTGTTGCTAATGAGGACGAGGACACTGAGGCTTGGAGAGGTTACGTGGCCTGCCCAGGGACCACGTGGCCGATAAGTGGTAAAGAGAGGCTTCAAACTAGTGGGCTCCTCCAGAGCCTGAGCTCTTCCCCACTTGGTCAGTGGTTTTCAAAGAGCAGGCTGTGACCCATCAGTGAGCCACTGAAACCACTTGGGGGCTGTAAGAGGCACTTTTTTCCTTTTAATTTCATTAGCCAGCACTTGATTTAATTAAATAAATGACGATAGAAAATATGACATTAGTGGGGTGCCTGGGTGGCTCAGTCAGTTAAGTGTCTGACTCTTGATTTCAGCTCAGGTTGTGAGCTCAGGGAAGTGAGATGGAGCCCTTCGATGGGCTCTGGGCTCCCTCTCTCTGCCCCTGCCCTCCCCTCCAACACTTGTTCATTCTGGCTCTCTACCTCTCTGTCTCTCTCTTAAAAAAGAGGGAAGGGAAGGGGAAAGGAAGGGAAGAAAAGTCACATTAGTAAGGACAGTATTGTATTCTGAAGCCTTTTTTCAGTTACATCCATTTACATCCAAATATGTGTGTTCTGGGCCAAAATTCAAAACATATTTCTTATTATTTGAGAAATCAGGAGTCTGGAGTCTAATGTTTTTTACTTGCTTCACTATAAGGTCCTGGACAGCAGAGCTCCTGGGCTCATCCTGAGTTTATTCCAGGGCCTGACTCAAATATTTGGTGAATAATGAAGCCTACGCCTGTTTCCCACCTGCAAAGCAAGAGCAGATGCCTCAACCAAGTGCCTCGTTTAACAATGAGGGGCAGGCGTGGAGAAGCACAGGGCTTGCTTAGGCTCTCCCTGTGAGTCAGGGCAGAGCTGACTATCCCGATGTCTCTAGCCCTGCGGGGAGCCAGACTTGCTTTAAAAGCAGAGGTTTTTATACTTTGGGGAAACCTCATACCCCTACCAGTATTTAATAAAATACACTTACTCATCTATTACCAAACATGACAAATAATTTCATAAGGTTACTAAGACCCTAGGCTCATCCCTGAAATGCCAGCCACTGGTGGTCTGAGACACTCATTCATCAGACAGAGTAACTGAGCACCAATTGTGTGTCAAGCATTCCTCTAACTACCCCCCCGCCCCCGGAATCTTCATTCAAATAGAGACATTGACACACACATATGCATGGAAGATAATATCTGAGCTGAGTATTATGAGGAACTATAAACAGGGAGTGTGATTTTATGTGAGGCAGTGAGGGGAGGGCCTCTCTGAGAAGGTGACCCAGGGAGACAAAGTGAAAGCACAGGAACATCATTTAAATATCAGCTGAAGTACCCCAGCTTGGAGGACCAGCGGGGAGGCAGGAATGAGATTTATGATCAAGGAGAACAAGAAGAGTGAGCCAGCTGGGTAAGGCTAATAGGCCATTATAAGGCCTTTGGCTTCTCCCCTGAGTAAAAGGGGAGCCACTGGAAGGCACTTATTGAAGAAGATGGCAGGATCTGACTCCTTTTAAAATGGTCCTTCCGGGACACCTGGGTGGCTCAGTCGTTAAGGGTCTGCCTTAGGCTCAGGTCATGATCCCAGGGTCCTCCAATCGAGTCCCACATCCGGCTTCTTGCTCAGTGGGCACTCTTCTTCTCTCTCTCTCCCTGCTGCTCCCCGTTTGTGCTGGCTCGCTCACGCTCTCTCTAATAAATGAATAAAATCTTAAAAAAATAAAATAAAACGGTCCCTCTGGCTGCCCCTGTGTTGAGAACAGACTGCAGGGGGCAAGCCTGGGAACGCAGAGACCAGTCAGGAGGGTGCTGAAACAGGCAAAAGACATGCCGGCACCAGGGTGGCAGCAGCGGCAATGATAAGTTCTGGGGTTATGGATATATTTTGCAGAGATAGCCAATGGCATCACTGAGGTGAAATCTGAAAGAAAGAAGTTAAAAATAGGGGAGCCTGGGTGGCTCAGTGGGTTAAAGCCTCTGCCTTCCGCTCGGGTCGCGGTCCCAGGGTCCTGAGATCGAGCCCCACATCAGGCTCTCTGCTCAGTGGGGAGCCTGCTTCCTCCTCTCTCTCTGCCTGCCTCTCTGCCTACTTGTGATCTCTGTCTGTCAAATAAATAAATAAATAAAATCTTTAAAAAAAAAAAAAAAAAAGAAGTTAAAAATAATCCCTGAAGTGAAACTACCCTGTATGATACTGTAATGGTGAATAACAAGACATTAAGGATTTGTCAAAACCCACAGAACTTTACAGCACAAGAGTAAACTTTAATGTATACAAATATTTTTTTAAAAAATCATTTAGGAGGTCAGGGTATCCCAGGATGGAACACAGAATGCGACATTCTTTTTTTTTTTTTTTAATTTTATATTAACATATAATATATTATTAGCCCCAGGGGTACAGGCCAGAATGTGACATTCTGAATCTAAATGTATTACAAATGTTTTAAACAACTTCACTGAAAGGGCAAGGGGAATCAGGTGCAGATCTCAGTAACTTTGGCAATGAGTGGAGTCTGTAGGACTAAAGGTAAAAGGAACTGCACATGTACAGTATTCTCTAGTTGATAAAGTTACTTCCCACAGGCAGCAGAGGTTAACAATTCTGAAACTACTATATATGTATACTGAAATTGAACAACTGAGTAAATGGATGGTAGATGGTGGGAGCTAGATTAGTCACAGATGGAGTGGGAGGTTACAGATCAGCCAGAGGAGGCGAGAATGGTCCATGTGGAATGATGAGAGTTGCAGATATGAACTCATATTTAGCTTAATATAGATACAGGTGGCTACACAAAGAAATATTTATAGATACGTGTATAAATACAGGTTAGTATACACACATCTGTAGCTTGCACTGAGGGTCTAGAAGCATGGGCATCCCAGTAGCAACGATCGCATCTAACAACCAAGTCTTGGCATTTAATACATTCTCCAATAAAAGGAAGCAAGGCTGCTTGGAGAAAAAATTTTTTTTTCTTTTCAAGATTTTATTTATTTATTTGATGGACGGAGATCACAAGTAGGCAGAGAAGCAGGCAGAGAGAGCGGGAGAAGCAGGCTCCCCGCCGAGCAGAGAGCCCGACACGGGGCTCGATCCCAGGACCCTGGGATCATGACCTGAGCCGAAGGCAGAGGCTTTAACCTGCTGAGCCACCCAGGTGCCCCTGGAGAAATGTTTAATTCTAGGACTGAGGCATGAAACATACAAGATGAGCCTGGAACATAAAGTGTTTTAAAAAAAAAAAAAAAATGGGTCACTTGGGTGGCTTAGCGGATTAAGCCGCTGCCTTCGGCTCAGGTCATGATCTCAGGGTCCTGGGATTGAGCCCCATGTCAGGCTCTCTACTCTGCAGGAAGCCTGCTTCCCTCTCTCATGTTCTGTCTGTGCTCTCCCTCTCTTTCTCTCAAATAAATAAAATCTTAAAAAAAAAAAAAAACACCACCACATTCGCTGAGGCATGCCAAAGGGATAGAGGAATGGCCAAAGCTGGAACATTTTGAGCAATAATATATAGTATTACTGGATTATAACCCAAAGTATGAAAATAAATATCTAAGCCATACTGATATAAATAACTGAATAGGTAAATAAATAAACAGAAGAGCGTTGACAAATTTCTCATGGCGAATGGCACATAATTTATGTAGATACTCTGCCTTTAAGTGTGAAGCATGATTCCACACTCTTAAGTGTGGGCTGTAATGACTCTATTCCTTGACTACAATGTGGAAAAGGGGAGTAAGGGAAGTAATTTTACAGTGGAAAAACTTGACTACTTCAAGCTAGTGATCCAAGTTACCATCAAGTGACAACTTATATTGATAGTATGTACCCTGGATGCGATGTGATGAGAATGGACTTTACTCTGTGGTTTTCCTCCCCAAAACCCCTTACCTAATCACGCGAAGAAAAAAAAAAATCAGACAAATCTCAATTGAGGATCATTTTACAAAATATCTGACCAGTAATACTCAAAACTGTCAAGCTGCTCTAACAAGGAAAGTCTAGGAAACTCTCAGGGCCAAGAGGAACCTAAGGAGACACGAGGACTAAAAGTAATACGGTATCCAGGAAAGGATACTGGAACACAAAAAGGACACTGGGGAAAACTGAACCAAATGCGAATAAATCATGGACTTTAGCTAACATTAACTTATCAATATTGGTTCACTATGCTAAACACGCATTGTGCACCTAACTAGGCGCTTTGCATTCACCATCTCATTCAATCTCAGATTAAATGGCCTATGCGCCCATTTTACAGAGGAGGAAACTGAGAACCGGGCAGGCAACCAGAGATGGCCCACGACTACCCAGCACTATGAGGCCCACTCAGGAGTCCCAACTCCGACCAGAATGACCCCGAAGCCTGGGCTTCTCCTAACGCTCCGCGAGTGGGAGGAAAGGCCAGGTCCGGGCAGCGAGCGCAGGGTTCAGGCCCAAGCTCCAAACGAACGCACGGGGCGGCACCGGGCGAGGCCCTCCACGTCCAAGGGGCTCAAATTCCCCTCTGCAAGTAACTTCCTGACAAGCGCCCCGGGAAGTTATTGTCGTCCGGTGCAGGGCGTCCCGGGGGCCAGCGGAGCAGCGCCGCCGGAACGAGCCCGGCCGGCGCCCGAGCCCAACCCCCTCTCCGTTTCCACGGTCCGGACCACTCCGCCCCTCCCCGAAGCCCGAGCCCGGCCGCCGCGCCGCCCCACTCACCTCCCGCGCCGCCGGGCCGCTCCCCCGGAAGTGGTTCCCGGCGGAGGATCCCGGAAGTGACGCACTAAACAGCCTGCGGTCTCCGCTCCTCCCGCGTTGCCAGGGTTCCCGCCTTTGTCCCAACTCAGTGGGTTTGAGCAGGAGGGGGAGCCCTGGAGAAGCGGGTTACAGACCTCTCCAGATTCCCTAAGCCCCTTTGTCTGGACACATTTCAGCAGTCGTTCATAGACGTCTATGGGCGCTTTAATTCTATGCTAGAAGCTGAACTAGGAACTTACAAAGAGGGTAGAGGAACAAGAATTCTTAGCATTCAAACAAGAGCCCATTATTAGAATTCGCTCAAACCTTTCACGGGGTTCTGAGCTGGAGCCCCACGACAGGCATAGAACGTTTAAAAAAAAATGAGTGCATCCTCTATCCCCTGTGCTGGTTAGTGGGATACAATGAAATTGTGAAATAATAAATGTTACTGCTTTAAGCTCCTACTTTCGGGGTTATTTGTTATATAGCATATATAGATAACTAATATAAAGAAGATCAAAGAGGAGGAGTTGGATGGTAGCGATCAAAAAAAGAATTGAGACCTAATCTTACCCTCAAAGAGCTCACTCTTAGAAGACACTAAAATAATTGTAATTGAGGCACACCTGGGTGGCCCAATGGGTTCAGCGTTGGCCTTTGGCTCCTGGGGTGGTCCTGGGGTCCTGGGATAGGCCACTTCCTGCAGGGTCTTAGGCTCCCTGCTGAGCGGGGAGTCAGCTTCTCCCTCTGCTCCTCCTCTTGCTGGTGATCTCCATTTCTCTCTGCTCAAATAAATAAATGAATAAGATTCTTAAATAAATAAATAAGGGGCACCTGGGTGGTTCAGTCAGTTAGGCATCTGCCTTCTGCTGAGGTAGTGATCTTGAGGTCCTGGGATCAATCCTCCAACCACCCCCAATCCGGCTTCCTGTTCTGTGGGGAGTCTACTTCTCCCTCTGCCCCTGCTCTCTCTCTCTAATAAAATCTTTTTAAAATTAATTAATTTAATAATTATAATTCAGACAACACCCACTAACTCCATACTATGTGAGGTGGAATGGAGGATACAAGAATGTAACAATGTATTTATTCGACAGATATTTATGGAGTCTCTGCCCTAGATTTCCATGTACTACGGAACTGGGAGGACAATGGCAGGTAGGTGGGTCCCTACCCCCACTGTGCTTACAGAGTAACAGTTACTATCTGACACCTCCATTAATCAGTCACACAGAGAAATCTATATGAATCAGGAGATGTGTTGGGAAGCAGGAGAAACCATGAGAGAATAAATAACATGGGAGATACAATCAAGACAGGGTGATCAGGCAAGGCCTCTCTGTGGAGGTAATATTTAAGCTAAGAAATAAAGAATGAGTAGGATTTTGCCAGGAAAAGAAATGGAAGAAAGAGCACAGTGGGATGTGAAAAGGCCGTGGGAAAGGCGTGGAGCATAAGAAGGGTACAGATATGTAGGACAAGAGTTGGTACTTGCCCTTAAAGGGGCTCACTGTGGGGGCGCCTGGGTGGCTCAGGGGGTTAAACCTCTGCCTTTGGCTCAGGTCATGATCTCAGGGTTCTGGGATAGAGCCCCGCGCCAAAGGCTCGGCAGGGAGCCTGCTTCACCCTCTTTCTCTGCCTGCCTCTCTGCCTACTTGTGATCTCTCTTTCTCTCTCTGTCAAATAAGTAAATAAAGTCTGTTTTTAAAAAGGGGGGGACTCACTGTGGGTTGTGGATGAGGAGGGTCATAGGAGACAGAGATGTTTTATGTGTTGAACTGTGTCCCTCCCCAAAAAAGCTACGTTGGAGTCCCAAACCCCAGTAGCTCAAAATATCATCATACATGGAGACCATATAGGGTATTTACAGAGGTAATCACATTAAAATGAAGTGATTAAGACATGCATTAATCTGACCGGTGTCCTTATTTAAAGGGGAAATTTGGACACAGATCTACACCCAGGAAGCACACCAAGTGAAGATAGAGATCAGAATGATGCTTCTACAAGCCAAGGAATGACAAAGATTGCCAGTAAGCCACTGGAAGCTTGGGAAAAGCCACGAGGCTGATTCTCCCTTGCAGCCCTCAGCTTTGATTTCAGATTCCTAGCCTCCAGAGCTGTGAGAAAAGAAATATGTGTTGTTTAAGCCACCCAAATTTGTGCTGTATTTTTACGGCAGCTCTAGCCAACTAATACAGATGTGCAGGTGCTTTGAAACCTGTTACTCTGTATCCAAGGGTAAAAAATTCCCAGTGCAGCTGCTGCAGGCATAACTGCTTGCTCACTCTCTGGAAGCTCCTGGAAGGTACCAGTTGAGTCTTGCTCATCTTTGTGTCCTGCAGCTCCATTAGCACCACAGCAAGGGGAGGAGCTCTGTGCCATGCTTGCTCCTATCCATAATATCTATGCAAGGCACACTGCTTGCACCATGAAAGAAAACGTTGAAAACGATATGGTTTCTGCTCTGAAAAAAAATTTCTAAACTGGGTGAACACATGACAGTGTAAACTGCTTCGTAATTATTAATTACAGCTGCCATTGATTGCGTATTCACTAAGTGCCAAGCACTTGACATATATCAATATTCTCCTGCCAACCATTTTATAAGGCAGCTGTAATTACTCTCATTTACAAGTGAAGAAACCTAAGGCTGGAGAAGTTAGGCAACTTCCCAAAGCCTCACAGAGACTACGTGCATAACCAGTGAGTGCACTACCCAGCCAACCTGGGCAAGCCAGATGAGCTCCCCAGGAAGAGAGAAAGCATCCAAAGGGACTGAAATATCTGAGAAGATTTCCTTAGGGAAGCGGCTTAATGTCCGTCCCAGATAATAGGCTGGGTTGAATACAGGAAAAGGAAAGTTGAGGTGCAAGACGTGCTTTTCTACCTCTAAGCCTTTTGCTTTGTTGGTCTCTTTGCCTGGAATGCTCGCCTCTCCTGGCTTTGCACAAACCAGACTCATTTTCATCTCTCAGGGCTCAGCCCAAATACCATCTTTTCAGAAAGGACTTCCCTGACCACCCTTTAAAGCTGGTTGTTTTTCCTAAAGATGGCTCCTGCGGGGCCCATACGATAGGTTTTTCTGCCCATGACCACTTTAACCAACAGCATACTGCGGGAGAGTCTGTGTCAGCCTCAGGCACGGCACTTACCTGGCCTGAAAGTCAGCCATGAAAGAAGGGTGAGTAGTACGAGAGGTGTCTCAGTGGCTCAGTTGGTTAAGCGTCTGCCTTCAACTCAGGTCATGATCCCGGGGTCCTGGGATCAAACCCCATAGCAGGCTCCCTGTTCAACGGGAAGACTGCTTCTCCCTCTTCCTCTATCCCTCTTCCTCCTTGTGCTTGCTCTCTCTCTCTCTCTCTCAAATAAATAAATAAAATCTTTTAAAAGAAGGAGGACGAAGAGGAGGAGGAGGAGGGGAGGAGAGGAGGAGAGGGAGGACGGAGAGGGAGGACGGAGAGGGGGAGGAGGGGGAGAGGAAAGGAGAGGGGCCGGGGGAGGGGAAGGGAAGGTACAGGGGGGAAGAGGGAGAGGGATGGGAAGAGGAGAGAGGGAGAGAAGGGGGAGGGGGAGAACGAGAAGGAGGAGGAAGAGGAGGGAAAGGAGGGGTGGGGGAGGAAGAGGAGGAGGAGTGGGGGGAGGAGGAGTAGGAAGATTAGCCTGAGATCAGTGAGCTATGAGAAGTGCAAGCCACGTGGGAGGAAGAGAATCAAGGAGCATCAGACACCGGAAAGGGAGTGAAGAAGCCCTCTGGGAGAGGTGGAGAGATGGATAGATATAAGATAAAGCCATGATGGTAAAATGTTAAGTGTACAATCTAGGTGGTTAGTATAATGTTTGCCATACAATCCTTTCAACTTCGTGTATTTGAATTATTCACTACAAAGTTTTGGGCAAAAGAGAAACCGCCTTGGAAGTGGATTCTCCAACCCCGAACACTTCCACTCACATCGCATGGAGCAGAGAAGAAGCTCCCAGCCCAGCCTTTTCCAAATTCCTGGCCCCCAAAATCATGAGCTAAATAGATGAGTACTTTTAGCCACTAATTTTGGAGGTATAGATAACAGAAATTCTCTAAGGAGATGTCTCTTACTTTCCTGCACAGCTGCCTGCCCATTTCTTGTACAGCATTACCACAATCTGCTTATTCCTCATCAGTCTCTCCCCCAGTAGAGTGTAACTTCTGTTTCCTCTGCTCCTTCCTCCCAGCACGACTGCCTGACCCGTGGAGGTACATAAGTGAATGTTTGTTGAGTGACAACTAAGCCCACAAAAGGGGCCCTTCTGAAAAGTAACGGGAGAGAATACAGAATTCATGGAGTTGGCGGTGGGGGTGGGGACTGGCATTTGTCAGTTGGACTACCCATCTTCCATTTGTCAGAATCTCAAGAAACAGGAAAAGGGAGCCCCTTCTCCACTCTGGCAGACGGAAGAGGTAAACACACCCTCACCTCTGTTCCTGCTGGAGCATAGATGCTGGATATACTCATGACCTGTCAAAATCCCCCACCCCAGACTGAAGCCAGAAGAAGAAATTCCAGCTGTAAAGGTCAGACAGAGACAGTAGCAAGAACAGAGTAGGGCCCTTATTCAGAGCAGGTGGTTTTAGGGGTAGGGTGCTAGCCACCTGGCTTTGTTGGGGGGTGGGGGTCCCTGCCTGAGCCCAGTTCTGCAGCGTCCCATCCCTTCCTTCTGCCTTTGGTTCAGCACAGGTGTGAAACCAAGAAGCTAAATAAATGAATCCTGAGTGTGGCAGAGCCTGATAAATCCAGGACACAGGATCGAAACAAGGGTGGTCTTTCTGCCAGGGATCTGAACATCTTCTGTGTTCCAGAAAGGTCAGGGACACATTTCTCTCAGAAGTGGCAGGGTCCAAACAGCAGTGGAGACTCATCACATCCCGAACTCCTTCTCTGGGCCTCCAGGAGCATTATAGCTGGTAACCAACTTTGATTGACAAGACCCGATTGAACAAGACCTGTTCTTCTCTTGCTTTTTACAAGGTATGAAC